TGCCGATAGAGCTCCCTTCTTTGCACTGGTTCTACCTCCCAGGAACCAAAGCCCAAGTGGGGTCCCTTCTCCATGGCAAAAGCCTCTATATGCTATCCTTTAGGGGAGGTTTTACTACAGGAAATCAGACAAGGACCATAGAAGCATTAATAGGTGTTTAAAGCACATAGAGAGCTCAATAAATATTGGTTGAATGGATAACTGGATTCATTGAGTTACTGTCCAGGAAGTCTGAGGACCCGCATGTGGGAAGAGTGTGGTCCTTACGAAGTTGGTTCCTGCCTCTTCTGCATTTATTCTAAGAATTCCTTTCTACATCCCCGCTTAGTGCCTCAGTCTCCCCTCCAGCCAGCCCTTTCCCATGAGCTATAATAATAGGTTTCATCACGTTCTGAGATTGAAATTTCCCACTAATAAATTAGCTTTAGTTTGAAGCTATTTCAAAATTAAAACTATTGTTGAAGTGATTGGTTTTAGAAAGTGTCCTCATTGCTCTTCCTCCTCCATATTCCTAGTGCTTCTACACACCCAAGTGCCACCGAGATTGGAATGATTTACTCAACAGTGCTCTGGACATAAAGGAGTTCTTTGATCGCAAGAACGGTACCCCCTTTTCATGCTTCTACAGTCCAGACAGCCAATCTGAAGATGTCATTTTCATAAAAAAGCATGACCAAATGGCTATCTTCCACTGTTTATGTTGGCCTTCACTGACTTTGCTAGGTGGTGTCCTGATTGTTGGCATGGTGAGATTAACACAGTACTTGTCCCTACTGTGTGAAAAGTACAGCACTGCGCTCAGAGATGAGATAGGTGCCAAAGTCCCTTCTATGGAACAGCATCGGTCCAAACTGTGGACTGTGGGGAAGAGCAGAGGAAGGAGCAGGGAGGTCTTAAGATGGTGGCCAAATTAAAGTCCTGGTCTTCAGATCCTGGCCACTTCTACACTTGAGGATCTGTCTGTCTGCTTGCAAACTAACCATGTAGAGGCAATTAAGGTTAAGTATATTTCATGTGGGGAACAAAATGTTTAAAAGCCTCATTATGTATTCTATTAAAACGTACAAATTCACCATCTTTTCTACTCCAGATCTCTTCCCAAATGAACCAAGGAAGCACTTTTTGTTCCCACATGGCAAGATGAACTCAAGGTAGTGGTACTTTATCTAATTTCAGCTCTAGCTAAAAACTTGTCAATGTAGAAATAAATGATGAAGGTATTTAGCTTACTAGGCACTGAACAACCAGCCTAATTCTACGCATTGTAATTTATATCAAGACATTTCTCAAATTTCTTAGTGAAGAACAGTTCATTTGCTATAGGAAGATAATAATATGGTAATTTCAGAATATGTGGACTTACCATTTTCCTTCACCATTCATGATAAAGGAAAGCTGTGGCCTAGAAAATTCACTGTTTAGAGCTATTTGTACTTAACCTTGCCATATACCATGTCCTTTTTCTTTCAGCAACATTTTTCTAGTTAATTTTGCTTTCTGTAAGTTCATTTCATTCCTTGTACACATTCTGGTGGGAGTACGAGGTTGTTAAAATGTGTTGTGGAGTAGGAAGAAGCTGTACGGGATGGAATTTAACTTTCATCTCAGAGAATCTGCATTGTAGAAAGTCCCACATGGACAGTCAACAAGTATCCATACTTTAACTAGTGAATCAACCATAGTTATCCAATAATGAATGTCACAAGACTCTCCCAACAAGTGCTTTCCAGATTAAGCTGAATATAAATTGAAAAGTTTGTTCTAAAAATCAATTGTGTCTCAAACAGTGTTTAAAATTTTTCTAAAAACTCATACATCATGGACAATAGAAAGAACAAGACTTTCAAAGCAACTTTTATATATAGATGTAATCAAAACAGAAACTTTGTAAGTCAACTTAATGCCTTTTAGCAATTAATTTCAAGTCACAAATTATTAAATAAACTGAATAATTAGAGCAACATTAATAACTAATAGACAATTTTGTTTTCTCCTCTTTCTAGTGGAATAGTGAGAAGAACCTGTATCTCAGAGTAGGATTTACTTGAATTTGTAAGCCATGATTCCAACTTTTCACATATGTATCCTTGGGCAATTCAGCTGAACTGCTCAACTTCTTTCTTATCTATAAAATGGGGATATTTTAAGGAATAAAGAAGGTAGAGTATGTGAAACACCTAGCTTAGTTTCTGGCACCTAGTATAGGGGCTCAAAAATGTTACATAAAATCTTCTGGTATGTTTCAATATGCAGTTAGCTTTATCCCTCTTCTGGGTGACTACCCAAAGGCAATGAAATCAGTATCCCCAGGAGACACCTGCACGCCCTTGTTCACTACAGCATTATTCACAATGGTACAGATGTGGCAACAGCCTATGTCTATCAACAGATGAACATAGAAACTGTGATATATTTATGTATATACACATGTATACATATGTGTGCATGTGTAGACATCCATAAAATGGACTATTATTCAGCCTTTAAAAAGATCCTGCCATTTGCAACAGCATGGACGAAACTGGAGAACATTATGTTAAGTATAGTAAGGCAGACACAGAAAGGAAAAAAATTGCATTTCACTTATATATGGATCTAAAAAGCTGAACACAGAGGCAGAGAGTAGATGCTGATTACCAGGGATAGGGATGTGGGGAAAATGGAGAGATGTTTGTTAAAGGGTACAAATATTGGTATAAGATAAAGAAGTCTAGAGATCTAAAACAGCATGATGACTATAGTAATAAAACTGCATTGAATGCTGGAAATTTCCTAAGAGTAGATTTCAGGTGCTCCCATCATACACACAAAAGGTAACTATGTGAGATGATACATTACTTAGCGTGACTGTAGTAATTTCACTATGTATATCAAATCATCATATTGTACACTTTAAGTATATACAATTCCTATTAAAAATTTAAAACAAAAACTCAGCCTGGGTAACTTTCATTGGACAGCTGGTATAGGGACTAGGGTGGGGAGCTGCAGGAAAGGATCCCTCCCCACCTTCTCTCTTGGTACATATAAGCAGTTAAGGTCAAGAACATGCTGTTCAAAAGACTGTGATAAATTATTTTGTATACCAAAAACCGCCCTGCAATAAAATAGATGCATGCACATATTTTAAATCATTCTGCAAATTGAGATTCTGTAGATTACTTAGGGCACATCTCTATTCCATTTCTTAGTTTGACATCCATCTAACAACATGCAATTCTTGAGATATTCCTCTTAACAAATTCAAAACCACTAATTTTAAACTTAAAGTGTGTGAAAGTGAGAAAACAGTGTTTCAATTACTACAGTTTCTTATTCATATAGTGGCTACTTAGTTCATCTCAGGAAAGGGAGACATTATGCTTGGAGAACAGTCAATTTAGAACAGTGTTAATTCAAAGTCACTCAAACCATTTTGAAAATAAAACTTAAGCAATTATTTGCTGTTAATTGCTTAGAAGGACTCAGTATCAATGCCCATGTGCATTACTGGTCCAAGAAAAGCTCAGACTTCTGCAAGGTTTATGATAATTGAAAGCAAAACCAGTCTGCTTCTAGTCTGACTTTGCTTTTAGGTTCTGGTCTTCAATTGACTTAAATGGCAAAATATAATTATCACACTTTTTGTTTAAAGATTATAATACATTAAGGATTGTTTAGACACAATTTTTTTCTTTTAAATAAACAGCGTGATCTTACAGACTGCAAAGTTAAAGCAAAGCAGACACTGACAAGTTTCTGGTGAGCACAAACAGAAAGTGCGGTCACAGGCCCAACTCCTTGCTAGGAACAGCAAGACTTGGGAAGAGGCATTAAATGTAGTGACACTGTATTATTCTATATTCTCAGTACGAAACACAAGCATCTTTCTGTGTCAAATATTTTCTGGGCCATCACTGAGAACATTTAAAAACACTTTCCCCCTAACTTATGCAGTATACCATGGGATTTCATTGAATGACAAAATACAGAAAAATATATTTGCTACAATAAATGGGATTGAAAAGGGTGGTGAGAGCTCCTTTTTGAGGTTTCCAAAGTCAAGCTGATGGGTCAGTAGTTTTTTTTTTGGTAGTGCCACATTCCACAAGATTTTGAAGTGTTATGTTGCATTCCAAAAGAATATGTTCTTTTAGATTTTATTTAACCCAGTTAAGTCTGAGGACTGAATCACAGGGAAACCACTAGCTGCATTTGAAACTTAGATTCCAAAGTCAAAACATTTCTGGAAACTAGATGAAGGCCAAGCTCTCTAACCACCCCCTTAGGAACATAAATCTGATAAGGGGCTTTTTCTTAAGAAGTCAACAGATAACCACATTTGGAAATTCATACTAGAATTAAGGAGTTAAGTCTTATTAAAGATATTTTGAGAAAATGTAAAACAATGAAGGTTTTCTGCCTCCTTGTTTACCTAGGATGATTAACAAAAATAAGAATCACCTATAAATATACATGGCTTTTAGCATAATGACAAAAATTACGGTTGTGACATATTAAATAAGGTCTCAGACAGATTCATATACTTAACTGGCTTACATAATGCATGAAAAAACTCTTTCCATACTTACCAACATGAGGAATGAAGTCTATCGTTGGTAGCGAAATTAGTTAAACTACACTAAATGTACAACAGACTGATTTTACCCACCCCCTCACCCCAACTGTTATGTGCAGTTGTGTAAAAATTAAGTCACAAAATTTCCTTATGGCTTGTAACTTATTTTATGCCAACTACCATGGCTGTAATAGTAACACATCTAAAACTAAGCCTAAGGAATGGTGCTACACTGAAAAGTGCAAAACCTTAATCATGATACAAGCTTAAAAACTAACATGACATCCCAACTTGGGAAACTCCTGATAAATTCTAAACTCTTCTTAACTTTAGAAACTGATGTTTACACCTTTTATAAAATATGGCCTCTTGACTAGGGCTAGCAGTGTGTATACAAACAGAAATGTGTGCAAATATATACACACCAATTTCACAAAAGTTCTTGAAATTGTGTTTTCTTTTCTTTATTATTAGTGAACCTCCAGGCACTATATAGCTTTTTCCAAAAGGCTGAGGAAATGATTAAATTTTAACCAAAAATGTTCCTTAGCATCTCCAATGCCATTAAAAACAAGGCATGCCAACTCTGACTTTATTAATCTAAAATACAGTGTTCTGCAAATTTCTGCAGTATCAGATCCTTAAGTATTGAATTACGACTTACCTATTTTTTTTTTCTTATTAGCCTTCTGAGGTAGAGTTACCAATCCAATTTTATCAGGACCATAGTTATCTTGAGCTAAACCCCATCATCTTTTCGGAAAGTGAGAACAACTCTTAAAAGCAAAAAGGCTCCCCCAGGCCATGGCACATAAAATACATTTACAATTTTTAATAATTAAAAAAATGTTTTGTGTATATATTTTAAAAAACAGCCCAGCTGTATTAGTCTGTCACCAAGAGTAGGATGCTGTCAATTCTAAATTTTATAGTTCAGACTTCACAATCTCATCCTTATTGAAGAGTTAATTCCCTCATATATGCACAATATACTCAAAATTTTCTGCCTTTGCTTAGTGCCCCATCTGAGCAGGATGGATATGAGGAATTTAATTCATTCAAACAACAACTCCCTGCTTTGCCCCTCCTTCAACATTCCCCTCTTCTCAAAAACATCTGAAGTATGAAAGTTGTTCTTAAATAATAGGAGCATCACAATCTCTTATCACCACATATGGTCTTTAAACTGAAATATTTTAGTGATGTCTTAGACATCAAAATCAATTTTTAAGGTGGATTCTGAGTATGTGGGTCCAGCCTTGGTCTGCAGTTTGTGCAGAGATAAAAGGAACTTAGAACATTCAGAAAGATTAACCTGCTGCCTTTAAAATAATGCTGGAAAAATTTTAATTTCTTCAAAGAGTTGGCAGGCATGGGCTAGCTACTGGTCAGAATATGAATTAAATGGATTTCTAAAATCATTAGGAAACAAATCCAACTTTATGTGCTGTGAAATTTCCAGGGATTCTTCAAAGTAGATAGGCTGCTCATCATTTTTTTATAATGTAAAATCACTCAATTTTTGATGGAAAAGAGAATACAGATGGACTGTGTTTAACCTGTGAAAATCACCAATCTATTAAAAATAAATTCCAAGAGGGAATATACATTCTAATCAAGTCATTATTTTCCTGATTAATAAGAACTACACTTTACACAAAATACTTTATCAGCAGCTGTTTTCATCAGAAAACCAATAGTCATAGTTTCACAGTTGAAAAAGTTACACATTAAAATATTTTACAATTCATTTTATATTCACCAGCATCCCATTTCCTAAAGGGCTTGTAATATAAAGCAGATTAGAAGGGAAAACCTCAAACGTTGATTACTTTGACAGTAAGTTTTACAGAGGACACTAAGAACCACAAAAAGCTTAGGGTCTACTGTAAAATAGTGACCAAATTCCATTATTCTTTAAAAAATCCAATTAGAAACATCTTTTTAAAAAACCAAATTCTACAATATGATTAACAGATTTCAAATTAACAGCAGTCTAAAAATCTTCAAAATAAATCATTTTGTATAGCTAAAAATATGATAAAAAGTTAAAGCATAAGATTATCAGTTGATTATTTTTTGCTAGAATGTTTAAATTAGGCTTCACTTTCTTTAAACCTGCTTTTCTTCTTTTCTCTAAAAGACATTAAAGGAAATATTTTTCAAGTGACCAAATGAAACTGTAGTCAATAGTTATACCACATTCAATGACAAGGTTGGTTAGTCTTTGGAACTGATCAATCCATGAGAATTGATACCTGATACTGAAGTACCTGGAAGCAGCTATATTATCACCAACTTGAAACACATCCTAGTCACCCCATGTAGCATTCAATTCAAATTTTGGTTCTTTGCCTGCTGAATACTACCTTTTTCTTATTTTTAATGTTGTTTGCTTAAATGCTGCTTGGATTTGTTTAAAATTTACTTTGCTTTTAGCTAGATCACTCAATCTATATTCTTTATAAAACTTGTCTACATTTCTTCAAACACAGTTAATTTGGTTGCAGACTCTTGAACATAAATGTAAACGATGAAATAAGCTATATGGTTTGTGTTTTAATAGTGGAACAGTCCCAGGGGAAGGGGACTACCTGGACTAATGTGAGAAACTCAAAAAAATGTATGAATTTTGTGCAAGGAAGCTCAAAAGCTTTTTTGGCACTTGGGTAAAATGCGGTTCTCTGTTAATCATTAGTTTCCAACATCAAAGTTTCAGATGTGTATCATTTCCTTGAGTTTTCCTGTAATCAATCCCTGACACAGAAAAGACTCGGAGATGTTAGTATGTATTAACTGAATATGCCTAAAAGACACAAAATGTTAATCATGATGTTTTGATAAGATGAAATCTTCTACATCTGCAAAAGAATCTGGCTTCCTGCTTAAAATAGAGTTTAAATTCTTCTTACTTATTCCAAGACAGTTTACAGAAATAAGTTCCCCTAATCTTCAAATTTATTTTTCTTGTTGGTAGTATTATATACATGCTTTAGTGAGGCCCCTAAATCTCCAATAATTATGCCCTTTTAAAGGTTCTAAAATAGCCAAATATTAAAAGTTTTTGAATTAGAGTCCCTTGTTCACTATTCAAGACTTCTATAGGTAACTAATTTCATAAATGAATTACTTTTTACAATGTTTTACTAGAACATACAACGTGCACAACGTGCACTCTTTATAGTTGTATTCCAATATGCCTAATCTAGGAAACTGTCAGTAATTTATTGCACTTTTTCTGGTGTGGCACCTGGACATTCGCTAAAGCTATTTCCTAGGGCATTAGTCATCTGTTTAAAATACTAAGTAAAATAGCAGATTCTAGAGTGATGACTAGCATCAGCCCCTACCTCTTGGGTTCAAAGTGTTTAAGAGTGTATCTTGTGTTCAATACAATTTAATGAAGTGGGAGAGTTAAGTCCTGACCACTTGGATATGGGACATGATCTTAAAATGGTTTAAGATACTACTTTTATTATAGAAATATTGGATGATTAGCCAAAAAAGGTAAAAAGTTCGTGGTTTCTATTCCGCCTTATTATAAAGGATTATTCATGAGCATACCTCGGTAGAGGGACTTAAGCAATCAGTAATATACTCTAACTTGTGTTAATTTGGTATCTAATTTCATGATTGAGGCTTTATCAAGTATAAAAGAGGATGGAAGATGGAGTATTCATGTGAAAACAGAAAGAAAGAAAAAGAAAGATGATAAACTTTTAATGTTTTCCTTAAGTAGCTACACATTAGTTATTGGTATAAATCGCATAGTGCCTGAGCCTCACCCACAGACCAAGAGAAAAGCTGACTATGCTGCTATGGACAATAAAAAATTTGGGGTGCAAAACAATGCATGACTATGGGACAGATTATGTAAATAAAGAATATATATTAATGATAGTTTCTATAATATAAATAGCCTTTAATAAAAAAAATAATCTTTTTAATAACATTAATACTCACTTCTATTTTCTGGAAAACATGCATGAAAATGTATTCAATTCAATTGCAAAAGAAGAAAAAAAAAATCAACCTAAGGTGAATACTGTACAATTCTGGAGCCAGAACTATTCCTGCTCATCCTTTCCCTATGATGATTATTTTACTTTGTGGGAGCCCAGAATTTCCCTGGAAAGTAAGAATCAGATTCTTGTAAATACTGTCCAGAAAAAAAACCCTAAAACACCGCCTTGTAATAGGTCTCATTTGTGTCTGCTTCCAAAACTTTCCAGATAAGACCCCAAATTGTCAAAAGGTTTGATTTATTAAAAAGGAAAAGTCTCTGTTGAAATCTCAAGAGTCCCTTCCACCCCAAGCATTTTTCTTCATTAAACAAGGAGTCAAAAAACCTACTTCAAACTGTAAATTGAACAGCAATGGAAAAATAAGAAATTTTCATTATTTTCTAATCTTAATGTAATTTAACATCAAACTCCATTTCACTTGAACCTAATAATAATAGGCTTTGTTGTGTCCACATTCCAAAACATATAGCATTTGCAAGACAAAGAAAGAACATCATCCTTTTTCCTTCTCCATCATTTCTATATATTTTGGATTTTTTTGTTTTGTTTTGTTTTTTAAAAAAGATACAAATAATCTTCAAAGTTTACCTTTTGGACTTAAGGCATAACATGAAATTGCGCATTATTCTAAAGCTTAATTTTTGAAATGAACTAGTTTAGTGCTCTCAAACCCTGTTTGCATTTACATTATTTAAATTATATAGTATTTTATTTCTGTTCTTGATGTAAATTCTAATGCTGTTCATGGATTGTGCAATTCCTATGCAATCAGTCTTTGCCTGTTGACAGTTATTAACAGTGCAGTATAGAATCCAGATATTGAGCTTTCAGTTTGTCAGTTATCATTTCAGTTCAAGGCATGCTGCTTAATTGTATGGAAGATCCAATCCATTTTTGTTGTCCAGCCACCATGATGTGCATCATTCATTTGTTTCATGAAATATTCCAAAGCCTCTTGCTCAGTTTTATCTAAAGCTAGGGTCTTTCGAATATATGCAATATCATCAAAAGACTGCAGTTCTGGCATTCCAGAGCCAAGCATCATTGAGAAAAGATTTATGAAGAGATTGGCATGCTGCCGAATAGCTAGATAAGCCTTGTAACACATCTCCTGAAACCTATAAGTAATAAGAACAGTTTGGTCAGTGTGGAGCAAATGGGGTTGAGGTCTCTGCTCAAATGTCACATCAGAGAGAGGCCTTCTTGGACAAACCTATAAAACATGGCGGTCCTCTCTCTATTCCCCTCACCAACACTTTCTACACCCTATACCCCATGCTAGAATGAAACTCCACGAGTCCCTAAGGCTTTGTTTATGGCTTTATCACCAGCACCTAGAATAATGCCTGGCACATTAGGAATTTAATAAGGATTTATTAAATGTATGAACTGGTCCATACTAAAGCCTTCAGAGTTTAGACTAGTGCCAGGATTCAGCTATACATAAAACAGTTTTTTATAAAAAGTTTTAAAAAGTATTTTAAGATTTAAGAGACTAATGATACGCCATATGGTGGTAAGAAAAATTATGAATAAACATGGTAATTATAGTTATCTGAACTCCTCAAACTGCATGACTAAATAATATTGTTTTAAGCACTACACATTATTTGTCAATACAGAGATGGTGGGGTCCAATTATTTAAGCAGCAGTAAACAAAAACTTTTAATATATCATTAAGTTTAAGGATCCCTTTTTTAAGGCAGTAAATACAATAAGTTAATTTGGCTTTCTTTTTGTTTTCCTTCCCAGCATTGCAGAATAAGTAAATAAAAATCACATTAAAATATTGTTTGTTATAATGTTAGTAAACATGTTATTTTAAATTGCTTGAAAAATATCAATTGTTTTTGATAGCGTAGCAAGAATTCTTTACTTTGTGCTTTTGATTTTTTTGAGCTTACCTCTCAAATTCTCTTGTCTTTGTGCATTCTTGGGCTCCTTTACTAATCACTATTAAGAAATCTTGTGTCAAAACAAATGGCACACGTTCTCGTTTATAACCAAATTTTTTCTTCTTATGATCCAAAAAGTGTCCAAAATCTATATGAAACAGCTTTTCAAAAATAAGAAATTATGTTATAGTTTGACAAATGCAGAAATGCAATATCTTGAATTAATAAATTTAAGGCCAAAACATTTTAAAGAGAAAGCTGCTACCTGTCCATCATCTTTGACCATGATGTTACTATTGTGACGATCTCCAATTCCCAAAATGAAGGTAGCAACACAATATCCAGCACATGAACGTGTAAACAGATCAATGGCTGCATCATATCTACAAAGAAGAAATAAACACCTTGGAAGTACTGTAGAAATATATAGCAATCCAATCCAAATTGGGAAAAATGGTCAAAATCTATTACAACAATAAAAACAATCACTGATATTAAAGGGAGGAAGTAATTATGTCCAAAGATTTGAGGAATTTTGAGATAGAAAGAAAATTTCTAATCTCTGACAAAAGCACAATTCTTATTATGGTGAAAAAATACTCATGCCATTAAAATGAACTTTTTGTAATCATTTTAACAATGAATTAAAAGTAAAATTTTGAATGTGCAATGTTAACTTTCTAAAAAAAAGGAATAAGCAACAAGAAAACACATTTTAGATACCTAAACTGAATGTATAGGGTTTCACCAAATTGTAAGCAATTCTGATCATTTAAATACAATGATCTCAGGCATTTCAAAGGTCAGACATACGTTATTCCAAATTAAGTACAATTGTTTTTTCTGGACCAATTCAGTGAAATACACACAATTGTTAACTCAGTGAAATACACAAAACCGTTAAGAGATCTATCTAATAAAAACTCAGATTAACATAGAAGAAAAGAATAATAAACTCACATTTCTCCTTTATTCTTGTCTTTGAGCCACTGATGTAGCGTGTGACTGTTAAACTGCAGTGCGCCTTTCAGGCCACCTTTGCACTGAATTTGCATAATAGTGTGAGAATTTCTCACCACCTCAATAAGTCCCACACAGTCACCAATTGACAGACAGCCATAAGGTAACATTCTGAAAAAGGATCAAGACATTTCAATTAAATGATGGAATATCAAAATAGTAAATATTTTAATAGGTTAGTATGGGAACATTTGCAAATTTGTCATGCATGACTGTTATCCATTAACTTAATTTTTTTCTTATAGCATGACAAACATTCCTAGAAAAATCTTCAAAATTATCTGCCATCATTTATTACAACTTTCAACTGAAAAGTATTTGTTGTACATCAGAATAGCTTTAAGAAAAGTATTTGTGGCAATTAAAAATTTAAAAACATTTATGACTTTAAAGATATAGGTGAATTTAAAGATGTTTAATTGACATCTAAAAAATACTGTAGGGTAGCAATTCTCAAATTTTTGGTCTCAAGACTCCTTTACATTCTCAAAAATTACTGAGATCCCAAAGAGCTTTTAGTTATGTCTGTTACATCTACTGACATTAGAAATTTAAATGGAGAAAACAAATTAAAATACTTATTCATTCATTCAAAAATGACAATAAACTATTATATGGTAATATAAGCAACATCTTTTATGAAACAAAAAACCCTATATAAAGAAAACTTAGAAGAACGATACTTTTCCATATTTCCAAATTTCTGTAATGTCTGGCTTAATAGTACTGAGCTGGATTCTCATAGAAGTTTCTGTATTCAACCTAATGCAATATTTTAATTGAAGCAAATGAAGAAAATCTGGCCTCACACAGGTATATAGTTGGAAAAAGATAATAGCCTTTTCAGATATTGCAGATATTTTTCTTTGATACTACTCCAAAACTTGAGTTTCAAAAGCTACAATATGGAATCTGAAACCGTATTAATAAACTCTTCATACTCTCACATTAAAATCTATTTGTCTATCTTGCCTCTGAATGGGCTTTTACTAATATATGACTTTATAGTAATCCTGCACTGGTCGTTTGGAAGATACTAGTTCACTGAGTCATGGAAATCTTCCAAATGGTGATAGTTTCCATTATACCAACTAAAAAATTAGAATTGTTAGTTTACCCTTGATCTCATCAGAAAGTCTTTAATTTTGGGGAAGCTGTTATGCTCATAGCAGTGCATATAAGTTTTTAAAATTCTAATTTTTGCTTAAAAACTCAAATTTGATCACTGACAACAAACACTGTCAGCCATTCTCAGGAGGCAGGCTTGTGTTGTTCATTTTCAAGAATCTGTCTGCCAAATCCCTTGTCTGGATAACTAAAGCTTGGCTATTAGTTATTCTTTTATTCTTTTTTAATTTTTTAAATTTGCTATCATTAATCTACAATTACATGAGTGACATTATGGTTACTAGACTCCCCCCATCATCAAGTCCCCACCACATACCCCATTACAGTCACTGTCCATCAGCATAGTAAGATGCTGAAGAATCACTACTTGTCTTCTCTGTGTTGTACAGCCCTCCCCCGTGCCCCCCACTCCCTACATTGCGTGCTTTTTATTATATTCAGATTTATTATACTCTACCTCATTTTTTTTTATAACAAGACTTATAGGACTATGTCCCTCCCTTCCCACCCATCCTCCCCAGTCCCTTTCCCTTTGGTAACTGTTAGTCCATTTCTTGGGTTCTGTGAGTCTGCTGCTGTTTTGTTCCTTCAGTTTTTTTCTTTGTTCTTATACTCCACAGATGAGTGACATCATTTGGTACTTGTCTTTTTCTGCCTGGTTTATTTCACTGAGCATAATACCCTCTAGCTCCATTCATGTTGTTGCAAATGGTAGGATTTGTTTTCTTCTTATGGCTGAATAATATTCCATTGTGTATATGTACCACATCTTCTTTATCCATTCATCTACTGATGGACACTTAGGTTGCTTCCAT